TTTTCCTGTGTTTCCGAAGGATATTTGGTGGTATAAATAGACGGTGTATTCTTTCAGGTCCTCATCCTCCTCGGTCTGGCAGCCATTGCCGCCGCAGACAGCTTCGAGTCCTTCGAATACCGGCCACCACAGGTTAGTCGTCCGTTAATTGTTTTTCACGTTAGAACTATAGCTCCTGTATTCTTCCCACTTTGTGTTTATGGTCTTTTCTTTTAAATTATGTTTTTTTTTTTTTTTTTTTTTACAAATTGTTTTTATAATATCTGTTCTTTAACGCGAGTGATTCTACTCGTTTCAGCACTCAAGGGAGGACTCTTTCGAATCGTACGAGTCCGGTGAGGCCAAGTACGACTTCAACTGGGCTGTCGATCACGACCCTTCAAGCAACGAGTTCGGACACCAGGAGGCCCGCGACGGCGACCACACTCAGGGATCCTACTACGTGCAGCTCCCCGACGGCCGCCTGCAGACCGTCAAGTACTTCGTGGACGGCGACTCCGGCTACGTGGCTGAGGTCAACTACGAGGGCGACGTCTCCCTCGAATCCGCTTCCTTCGAGTCTCAGGAGAACAGACCGCGATACGTCTATGACTCCAACGAGTCCAAATAAAGCTCTTAATTCAGCGTTTGATGACGACTCAACATTATTTATTTTGAAGTTATTTATGAAGCCAATTAAAAACTAAGAAAGCATCATGGCTTTCCTTCTGTCTCGCCCTTTTACAAGAATCCATCTAAACGTTACAAAATATCAGAAGATGCAGTATATGGAACATTATTTAGAATTACTTCTATTTATAATGATTCAAGTGAAACACTAAAAGAAAAAAAATGCATATGAACACATGACGTAGACAACAGGCACTCGCGTAACCAGAGACCGCTTGATCAGGCCGCCCTAACTCAAATAGCCTTTGTGTGCGCAAGAGATATGCAGAGGGATGGTAATTCAATATTTTCATTCAACACGAATATTTCTAAAACGTTGAATGTCATTCGTAAAATCCTTTCTGGTTAACTGAATTCATAGAATACCATAGTAAGTAAATATAGACATTCATTTGTAAAGGCAGACACATACGTATAACTGGTTATTTACCTAGTAAAACAGATTTATGTTTAAATATATTTGTGTGTGCGTATATGTACGTTGCAATGGATTCCTCAACTAATGCTGGAGAAACAAACACTTTCCCATTTTACATTGAAATTATTTGATTGTCATTTAACGTAAAACCTTACAAAAAGATACACGGGCGACCCAATCCTTTTGTTAGGGACCAGCTTCTCGTTCAACTTTTATCGTGTCCAAAAAGGCGTAAACCTTTGGTTTACGTGTAAAGCAGAAAACAGACCTCTCGCTACAATGATTTCCAAAGAAGACGGGATTCTGTATACAGTAACTATCGACGAAAAAAAAAAAAATTCTCACTAGTTAAGGAATACATTATTTAAGCATCTCTACCTAGAAATGTATAATGAATAGCATTACTACACATAAATATTTAACTACTATTCCAGCTGACATCAGGTTAAAACATGATGCATATTCAGATAATATATGGTAACAAGGCATAAAATTTCAACAAAATGTCAAAGCCATCCTCACTTTAATTGCTCGTATAGAAAACAATAATAATGATATTATTATTGTTATTATGATTAGTATTATTGTCATTATTATTTCTAAAATTATCATTATTGTTATTATCATTATAAAAATAGTTATAATGATGAAAATGACAGTAATAATTAGCATAATAATCATTATAACTGCAATAATGATTATAACGTTGCATAACCTTCGACATTTAAAATTTACAATCCACAGACAATTATGTAGTTTGCTAATATATTCGTTAACCAAAAACAAATTCAACATTTTTCGAAACCATATAAATTCTACTTTAAAGATGAGACTAAAGCGGCCTTCAGAATCGTGGTAAAAAAAAAAAAAAAAAAAAAAAAAAAAAAAAATATATATATATATATATATAATAATATAATATATATATATATATATATAATATATATATATATATATATGTATGTGTGTGTGTGTGTGGTGTGTGTGTGTGTGTGTGTGTGTGTGTGTGTGTGTGTGTGTGTGTGTGTGTGTGTGTGTACTTATGAATCTCTCCTAAATGTAATGATAGTTACTCCATACCGGATCTACTTCACGTTGGCTAAATAATGAATTTAAATTTAAGAACTACTATAAATGTCTCATAATGTTCTTTTGGTTTCCAGACATTGTGTCATTTTGATATAGTAATAAGCCTTACCCTGTGTTGTAGTAACACGGCAAGAACATTTTCGAATGACCTTCCTTGCGGTGCGCTGTAGTGGCGGTATATAAGGGTCAGAAAAGCCTGATGCATATCATCAGTTCCTTTGACACCACTGTAGAAAACATGAACGCTAAGGTAAGCCATTAAGCTATTTTGTTAGCTTTTATATCCAAAGTGGTTATATCAGTAGCAATAGCATAACAATAATG